ACTGTCTGCACACGCACAAACGCGCACTCACACAAGCGCACACACACATACTGTCTCTTGGGAAACACAGTCATATATAGCAGTGACTTTCGCATGTGAGTGTATGAGGGCGTATTCACCTGCATACTGCTCGTTTCCCTCTCTTGTTAAGGCTCAGGCTGCATATCCTGTTCTTGAGTCAACACTTGATATAATCAGGTGTCACTTCCTCTTTTGTCAGTTTGCACATCTGTTGGTCAGCTGTGACCCTGGCCGAGTCAACTTGGCAGTCTGGCCAAAGAAAACACACAGATGCATGCACTTACTGTACCTGTATGCATGTAGAAGTCTACACACTCGTAGAGGAGTCATCCTAAAATCTCCCTGCAGATAAACACAATCTTATCAAAGCATCTCACACTTTTCGCTTCCTATTTCCTGATTAGTCGTTGGCAGTAGGGCTATGAATGCCTATGAACAATGAGAAATTTTGGTAAAATGAAAGGCCCTAAGCATAGGAAATATATTCAAGACAAGTGAAATATGATTTCAGCATTTTTCAATACTTCAGTATCTACAAACAAGAAAAAAGGATAAAATATCTGAAAAAAAGTCCAGACTAGCTACAGTAATGCATTGTGTAGTGCTCTTATTAGAGTTGTTCTGTGGCAGAAAACAACCCTGAAAGTCAAGTATTTCAAAGGACATTATTCTTTCCGAAGAGCATGGATTGAATTTTAAATTCACATCATGTCTGGATGATTCAAACAACCCGACACTTTGCTGCTCGATTGCAAACAAAATGTCAGGGGGTCTATGGGTGCAATTTGTAAAAGCATGCATTCCAGCGTACGTGCTTGAGTGGGTGGGTCAATGATCCGTTACACCGTGCCGTATCACAGATAGAGTCTCTCTCTCTGTCTCATCCTCTTTCATAACATTATAGGAGCAGCTTGAGGACATGCACAAATTAAAGATATTAACATACAAAGTGAGAGAACAACATCCTCCTAAGCACATCAACGGGTGCATGTGACTCAAAGGGAGATTTCTCAACACAAACCCAATCATTTTCATCAGAGTTTCTATCAGCATAACATTTACAACTTTTTTTTCTGCTTTGACCAAGTGAGATGTTCTCTCTCTCCCTTCATGACTGCCTGGAACCTACAATGGCGACTTTAATGGCAGCACCATAAGAGTGTGGTCTGTTGAATGTGCGCGAGAGAGGAGAGGACAGGAGAAGAGAGAAGAGCGCAGGAACACAATGGGTCTAGCGTTCCTTTCAGTCGGCTCAGGGCCTTATCTCCCGTCAACACACTAGCCTGTGACTGCCACTATAGGAAAGGATTTACAATGTGTGAGTGGAGGAAATGCTGCAAACTTCTCTCTTGCCTTTACTCTGACACACACACACATACACAGAGAGAGAGAGAGAGAGAGAGAGAGAGAGAGAGAAACAGTCATTTCCATACAGCACAATGACCAAACCTGGTTCTTCTATCTCAGTGAGAGCTCAACCATCCAGGAGATGCAGTCAACATAACAGAGTCCACAGTATGCGTTTGTGAGGTGACAGAGATAGTGGATCGAAAGAAAGGGGGAGACAAAAGCCATTTTCGCCATCAATGCCATCAAAGGGATTTCCAGTCGCAGTTTTATGGCGCGGAGGGTTCATCGAAGCGAGTTACCACCTTGCGTGCGAGTGTTTCATTGTGCAGTTTATCAGGCTGGCCACATGGAGTGTAAGAGCTAACCCAGTGACCGCTCAACAAAAGGCCAAATTAAGAGGAGTGAGAGGCTGTCGTACAGGAAGGCAGACAGGTTGACTGAAGCCGCTCCCGAGGAGAATAGCATCCTGTCAATCTTGGAGCTGTCACCTTGACAGGAATCCTTTCTTTGGATGCGACCCCCATCGCCAACCTTTCTGTCACTCAAGGCCACACACACACACACACACACACACACACACACACACACACACACAATGCTGTCATAACTCTGAAAGAGAGAAATATAGAGATTGAGTTTCATAAACACTCCATCCATCTCCTTGACAACCGTACTTCCACCGTGGTACTCTACACACGCCGCCTCCAACAGACCCAGCTTGTTATGGCCTTTGCATCTGTTTGTTAGAGTAATGTTAGTGTGTGTGTGTGTGTGTGTGTGTGTGTGTGTGTGTGTGTTTGTATGTATGTCTGTATGACCATGTTCACAGCTGCAGACTTTACAGTAGATCAGCATATTGTGGTGTAAACTAAAACACTGGCGCTGGACCTGAGGTTACCTGAATTATTCCTTCACATGGGGGGAAAATGGCCGTGGGGGGGGGAAATTTTACGTTGCAATCAAAGAGCTGTGGGGTTTCCCCCTGCACGCTTGTTCACATTATTTAATCAGGACCGGAGCGGTTTTAAAAAAGTCCTCCTGGCTCCATATGAAGGCAGCGTTTGTGTTGGAGGCTGGCGAGGCTGGTGAGACTGGAGTCGGGGCAGAACAGCTGTCTGTGTGTACTTTACGAGCTGGTCGTGTTTGTTCTGTAGACACAGGAGAGGTCAGAGGGGTGTCAGCTTTGTCTTCTGTCCCCCTCTATGGCCGTGTGTATGTGTGTATGTGTGTGTGTGTGTGTGTGTCCAGCAGAGGGAGAGAGAGGTCAGGTGGGTGAGGCAAAGGGAGTAACAACCCAGTGTGGACAGGTGGAGGATTCTCACTATGGGAACTACACCTTTTTCTCAGTCTCACTCTGAGTAATTGTGTCTGCTTATCTGATATATTTGTGTATTTATTAAGTGTTTGTTTACATTAATAAACATTACTGTAAATGCAGGCAAACGTTTATTTTTAATCTCTAGTACAGCTGAAATGATTAGTCGATTAATTAACCCTGTTGATTGACAGGAAATTGATCTGCAACCATTTTAAATATCTATCTGTCTTTAATGAAGTGCAAGAATGTGCTGCTTTCTGCTAGTTGAATACCTTTCGGTTTTTGACTGCTGCTCAGGCAAACTTGATGGGTATTTTTCAGTATTTTTTGTCATTTTATAGTTTCATTATTAATCCATTAATCCAAATATTATTTGCGGTCTAATTTCCATGAGCATACTCAGACAGAGATAGTCATCTTAAAAGGAATACAAAAGGTTGAAACTGCCTGTTAAATAAGATATAAACATGCAGCAATAATTAAAATATGAATATTAATGTTGTTTATATGTACTATACACAGTAGGATTACTCATTATCAGGTTCTAATTTACAGAAGCATATACACAGAGTAATAAAAAGGGAACATTATGGCAGCGATAATAATAATATTTAGTCTGTCCATCTTCACATCAACCCACCCACATGGCTATGACAATACAACACAAAGACAACAATACACGTTACAAGCATTAACTGGCTCCTGTTCACATGCAGACAGATATACTATTTAGTTTTAGTTCAGTTCTCTGAAATCTGTTCTTGCATTTCTTTTTTCCCAAATGTGGGATAAAGTAAATAAAGTCTTCAGTCTCGTGGACTCAATTGTGCTCTCCTTGTTGTCCTCGTCGTCCTGTTATGAGGAAACAGCGGCACCCACGGGCAGACAGCGGGACTCAGTTGTATTTCTCTCAGCTCTTGTTTTCTGATTTCACCGCTGTGCCACCTGAAATAATTAGTTTCAGGCTGCCCTCCTCAAGTCAAACATTCACATAATTCATATTATTTATATATTTTTCAATGCATGTCATTGTAAAAAGGCCCAGTGTAACCCATAATCACGGATTAATATGCGTCCATTTCGTTTTTGTAATATACTGCAAAATATTAGCCTACAGTGGCATCATTTTGTATCCAATGTGGGATATTTGTAGGCTACAATTTGGATCAGCTTCAATTTAGAAAGGATTCCTGTACATAGCTGCCAACCCGCGCCTTTGATGGTGAGAGGGACAGAGGGAGAGAGAGAGAGAGAGAGAGAGAGAGAGAGAGAGAGAGAGAGAGAGGTTAGGAGCTCCAGATGGTGTTTAAACGCAGACAGAAGGCTACAGCGAGGACAGAGATAGGAGGAGGAGGAGAGAGCCGCGGTTACTGAGTACAGTGAGCTCGTCAGCTCAGCTCATCAGTGAAGAACAAAACAAGTCTGAAAAAAACCCAAATTGTGAATTGACGGGAAAAGACACTGTCAATTATGATCAGCTGACTGTGAGTGTTTTTTTTTTTCCTGCGGGAGAAGTGGATCTCTTTCAAACACCATCGGAAGACAGGTCGGCGGAGGATCGGCGCGTCGGCGGAGGAGAAGGACCGTACAGAGAAACGTGGTAGTAGAGTAGCCGCTCACAGGCTGCAAAGAAACGGTGTTTTCAAAGGAAAGAAAGGAACAGAATATATCCCGCCGGATGTATAAGGACTTGTTCCTGACACCACGGACTGTGGCTGGGCTGTGAACTAAGAAGGCTTTAAAGTTGTCACAGGAGGAATAACAGTCGCACCCTGCAGACAAGAGGATCCGCATCTTAATCATTTGCGTTTTTTCATGGGATACGCGAGGATTGGTGGACAAAGTAGAAACCGGTTGATACTTTTTTTGCCTGCTTAGAAACGACCAGAAAGCACGTTTTTGCAGTTGAAACTGTATTTTTTTTAATATGATTTTATTTATTCTACGTGGGGTGGTTAAAATGAGCAAGAGAGCGGATTTACATGACTGGGACAAGTTGTGATTCTTTTTTGTCACCGTCGACACAAGAAGCTGTTTGCTTTAAAACACACACAGTTACTGCAAAACCAAAGACATCAATGTGCTTAAGGATCCAAGAGACCTGGCGAGAGAAATACCTCATAATTTATTATACCTGGGAAGTCAAAGCCCCTTTTGACCTCCCAAAGGAAAGTTAAACATTTGTGTGCGTGTATGTGTGTGTTGGACTGTGGCTTCTGCCTCTTTTTCCTCTCAATATTTAAAAACAAAAACAAAAAAGGAATAACACCTGAACTATCTAGCAACTATTCCCGCACTATCTAGCCAAGGCTTTATCATTTTTCCCAAATAATGAGGATTGAGATGATATACAACCTGTTTTAGAAGCTATCTGGTGTGGATGATCACCGCTACAATTACCTCAGCTTGACCTCGACCTTCACCAAGTAAGTACAACCTGCAAACTCGACTGTGTTGAAGCAAATCATGGGAGACGTTTATTTTGTTATTGGTGTGAATTGTGTTTAAATGCAACAGGGCTTTGGCTTTTGTAATTTATCAGAACATTTGATATAATGGAAAGAGTGTTTCACATTCGAAGGCTCAGGCAGCTAAAATATCTCAAGTTTAAAGTCTCACATTCTGGTCAACATGACTGCAGCTCTGTTAGAGCGGCATGTTAATGTCAAGATGAAGACAAACCAGGCTACCGTTCATGGATTTATTTTCTTTAAATGCCTTTTTGCTATATTTATCCTTTTTCCTGTAATTCTATCCACTTTAATTTGATAATTTGACATAATAATATGTCTTTCAAGGGTTTAGGATATATAGGGGAAGATATTGTATATCCTGTGTGAGTGAAAAAGCAAATTTCTTATTATTATTTCATGTGTGCTTATAATATGGAAGATGTAGATATTGGGACATGCAGACTGAAGAGCAGAGTAGAATGGACAGAAAAAAACCCAGTCTGATATTAATAATTACATCATAATTATCATTAACAAGATGTGCACTTATCTCCTTTCACTTGCTTTTTTGTCACTTGAATGAAATCTGGCGAGAGAGCTGATGTGGAGACAGAGAGACTGAAGGGGGTTCATGAGTTGTTTGCGCATCAGTCTGTGCTGCACATCAAAGTGAAATATTTGGACTCTATGAACTTGGAGTCCTCCCGAACTGGATGGAGGCGATGGGTGTGAAGGGATACACTTAGACATTTACTCTGACCTGAACTCCATGGTGCCTCAGATTACAACCCCCCCACCTTTTGTAATGATACTGTGGAGCATCACCGGTGTCCACTTTTGTGTGAACAAAAAGAAGAGCGATCCTTTCTGGTGAGTGTAGGGTGTTTTGTATTACTGTACCAACTTGTGGAGACATTAAAGGAGGAGGTAGAGGAAGTGTTTAACAGGAATAGTGTGGCAACCAAAGAAAATAAACACAACTGCAAAGTGATTGAAAAAGCTGAAATCATGGTGGATAATTTATAGTAAGCCTTTGTGACTGTAGGGACACTCCCTGAGAAGAAACGAGATCAGCCAAAGGTTTCTACCCCCACTTGAACAGCCTCAGCAGCACACTCTTCTGCCTGTGAGTGCAACAGTAAAACACTCAGGCCATTTTCTCTGCAGGACACGGCCCTGTATAATTGGCCCTGGTAAATATCATCTGAATAATTGAACAGCTGATAATAGTCTTGAACAATGGATGGGAGGTTGCAGGGGTGAAACCGCAGTGCAGACACCCTGCCTCACCGCACATTATACCTCCATCACCACCAAGCGAGCATCTCAGGCTCTCTCCTTCCAACGCTGGCCGCCCCATCGCTCAGCTGGGCCCGGCCAGCCCCCTGCTAAGGCAGGTGTCCCCACTTCATCATTAAGTATCTCTCTGAAAAGGCAGGCCATTCATTATGACCCCAGTCGGCTGAGTGTTTATTCAGTTTCCATCTACCACAGGTGCATTGATGGGACGTCCTCTGTTTCATATGCAGAAGGAAAAACACCACACAGGACTTTAAAAGAAACAGCAGCAGACAAATTCACAGGCCAGCGGAGAGTCAGCATGAAGTCTGCTATTTAAATGACTAAAACAAGCAATATATACTTCACTGCCATTTGTTCACGGTGGGATTTTGCTTTCTTGTTTCATTAATCTGTGATTCATTGCTGCTATTTCAGCCACATCATGACTTATCTTTTACCATCAAGGTATCAAAGGCCCGGTATTTGTTGTACCCTTGCGTGGCACCTTCCAATGTTAACTAGATTACTTTATTAGTTTATTAGGAGATGGGGAAAGTCAGTTCTGTTTATCATCTCGGTGTCATCTGGTGCAGTTGATGCGGCTCGTTTGATACTTTGACCTGATGCTGCAGGTTCTTTGCAGTGCTTACGCGTTTACTGTAATAGTGTGTGGGCTCATTGAGTGTGCTCGGTGCGTGTGGTAATTATTGTGATCTAAATGCGGGCAGTGCAGGTGAAACTGGCTGTCTCCTAATTAATGAATGGAGCAGATGGCCTCGGGTGGGCGGGAGTTGCGAGCCCACAGCGAGCCAGTCAGGTTGTCAGCACAACACAGACACCTGGGCCATCACAAACAAGACAAGCCAAGCGGTTGACACAAGCCAAAGACATCTGGCCTGTGTGTGTGTGTATGTGTTTACATGTCTGTGTATGTATGGCCCTCCTGAAAGTCAACAAACAGATGTGCACAGTGTTGTATCTGATATCAGGTGACCCCTTGAAAAGGAGGAGTAGCCTATTTACTCGTACATGCATTAGTTGTGAAAGAGGTTTCAGATATTAAACTATAAAGGTAAGAGACAAAGGGAACATTAGAGAAGAGTAGTTTTAAAAAACATAAAATGATGTGAAGCAGAATTTTTTCTTCTTCTTCTGCTTTCTTGTCAGTCAATCGTCTCATGATCACTTTGGGGAACACGACCCTCAAGTTGGAAACCATTGCTATACAGTTTGTCCTTTTACACCAGGGTGTTTTTAAGATCTGGCAATGACACAAAGCTACACAGCGTGTGTGCAGCCTGTTTATGTTTATGTTTGTGTGTTTATGTTATATTAGGGTGTTGAGCCTAATTTCCGCCTCTAAAACTTTGTTATTGCACATACAGTGCACCAGATGCTTCAAAACAAAGAGGTTTGTCTAGCTCATATTGTTGCCTTTTGACATGTGTAAATATGTTTTATTCATCAATTCGAAGTGTTGTTTGTGTTTCTGTACTTTTGATTTGTGACACAAGCTTTCATTCAACTCAAGGAGACAATTTTTTTCTGAGATTAGCTGATTGTAGGGAGTTTCACAGGTTTACCTCCAGGGCGAGAACATTCGCCTCAATAGATAAAGATACTTTGGAAATAAGGGGGGAAATGAAATCCTCTGTTAAGTTTGTGTATCAGGGAACAAACTGTTACAGTAAGATGAGAACAGTGAGGGAGCCATAATTGTTGGTTATATTAGTCTTACCATTGCCGCCCTGCGAGTGTGTGTGTGTGTGTGTGTGTGTGTGTTCATATAGAAGCACAAAATGACAGACCACTAAAATGGGATGTTTATTAAAGAGGAGACAGCGACGCGTTATGGATAGTTATGAGGGTTATCTGACTTTTGTTAGTTGTTCTTTGGTTTGTTCAGGATGACAAATTAATGGCAGCCTTGTGCAGAAACAGTGTTCTTACTGTACAGTTAAAGTGACTTTAATGAGATCAGTGTGTAAATGTGTGTGTTTTGTGTAGATATGGGGGCAAGTAAGTGACTTAAGGTGTGATGAAGTGACGTTCCCGGCGTTGAATCTCTATGGTTTCACTGCTGTTTATCCTAATACACAGTGGGAAAGACAAGTGTGGTTCTGTCTACCTCCTGCTTCGTCCTCCGTCCTGTATGTGTGTGTTGGTCTGGTCTGCCCCGGTCTGTTCCACATGTGTTTGACATTACTGTGACAAGGCTGCCCAGCCTCTCTGGGGAGATGGAGAATGTCAGAGACTAGAGCGGAGGAGCGAACAGCTTCCCAACATCTGATGGAATGAGAAACACACTCACTGGATGGCTCGCCTGCTGACACCACAGCGTGGGAGCAGAACAGAGCAGAGGGTGGAGGCCAAGTAAAACCCCAAATGTGTGTGTGAAATAACATTCTTACTCACTTTTCCCCGTTCGCGTCCGTGCATGTCTACATATCCTCTCAGATTCCCAAGAATAGTATATAGCACACGAACAAATACACGCTCATCATTTATTCTCTGCTAGGTTAGTCATTACTCTGTTTTGCATCCACTGGAATGGTCAGGTCTCCATCTTTTCTCCATATTTCCCTGTATGCAGAGCAGGTGAAATGCTCCTTATTCCCTTCTCTGTGACATTCAAGGATGAAAACTCACCATTTATTGCTGAGCATTTTGGGAAATTATTTGTTGAATTGACTCTTCATTTTACTAAAATTGCTTCGGCACATACAGCACTGACAAATTGCACCCTCAATTATGCATTTGCAAAAGAGAGGCACATTTCCAGTGCTCAGAAATGCTCAATCATGAATGCAAAAGGAAACAAATGTCACAACATTGATGAATTCCCATGTAAAGTACGTATAGCTGAATTGCTGGTAGCTACAGACAAGAAAAAAGGCGCTTCCTCCTCCTTCCTTCCTTGTGCCTATTTCACCTCCTGCTCTCCTTCCTCACCTTTTACTTCCTCACTGACCTCTGACCTTCTTTTGACCCTCCTCTCTGCCTTTTCCAATTCTCCCAGCGGCGCCTTCTCACCTCCCACCCCCTCGCCCTCTGCCTCATGGTAGGAAGTGTGTTCAGATCAGAGTCAAAGAGAGGAAGCAGCTGTGCTAATCTACAGTATAGCGCTGGTCTTGGTTTTAATCAAACCAAATGGACAGGCCAACAGAGAAAATAGGAAGTTCATATCGCCGCTGCTACCTGGTATATTGAATCCCTCCCTTTCCTTCTGCCCCACTCCGAGGCCTTTATCGCAGGCGTGGAGTAAACAAACACAAAGGAACACAGACTGAAGTTATTAAGGCCTCTACTCCAAAGCAGTCCTCTCTGGACGTCGGGGAAGTGCTGCAACACAGGAGCTTGCAGGCAGGGATTGGGAAGGAAGGCATGTCTCTCTCTCCGTTTACAGTATTTGTGAAATTAAAAAAAGCCGTTATCTCCTGGAAACAGATCCTGTGCCACACAGATGGTTCCGTCTCTCTTCAAATGGGAGGCTGAGAAACTGAGTGCCGTTGTGTTACCAGTTAGTTGTACAGACCTTAATCTCGGCTCCAGCCTTCCTTCCTCTGCCTCCGTGTCTCTCTCTACACACAAAACACACACGCACGTACACACACACAAACAGACAAACACCCCTTCACATAAAAATATTGCCAGTGTAAAGCACTAATTTCACCAGGAAATGGACATTTTAG